AGAGTCGGACGGTGTTATCGAGGCTACAGGAAATGAAGTTGTCGCTGCCCGGGTGAAGCGCGAGACTGGTAACGGATTTCTCGTGGCCTTCGAAGTACCGGATAAAGGAGTTGTCGTGGGTCGCGAGATATCGAATAGCATCTGCACACACAGCCGTCATGTCAGGTTATTTGTAAAGCACGAGATGCCAGGGAATCGTACCGTTCTGCTTGGTGCTGGCATAAATGATGCTTGAGCTCGTATGGGTAAATTTTGCTAGTTTGACTCCATACTTCTTGCTTAGCAAGCTTTTGTCGTGGCGCCCTTCTTTGACGTTATAGATCTGAATCGTCTCATCGCTCTCTGATGTCATACACAGGTCGCCCGGATCGTCGAAATCGATCGATAATACGTAGGGTTGCGGCTTGCCCTCTTTGATGTCGTCGCGTTGAAACAACTAGGTGGGCAAATCAGCAAATGTCAAAGGCGGGATTCGGTCAATTGAACGTACCTTGGTCGGTCGAAAGGCGGATATCACATCGCTGACTTTTGACGTGCTGGGAACATTGGCTCCCAGCGTCCGTGTGATGTTCAGCGAGGGCGTGGCCGTGGACGACGCCGGTTCGTCTAGGTCCATCGGAGTCGATGCCATGGCGGGTTTGCGAGAGCTCTCTCCAAAGCTGTGGTCTAGCTGAACTTCCTATGTCTCTGTCAACTCCGCACTCTAAGTCGTGTAACAGGCGATAGTGAAATGCTTTTGAAAAATAGAATTCAGCACCGAGTGAGAACGCGATTCAACTTCCACTGGGGAGCTTGCTGCACCTGGGGCGTTTCTGCCGAGCGGTCTACAGTTGGAGCTCTTGCGACCAGTCCATTTCCCAAACGGCGCCCCACAAAAAGCTATACTTCCATCCCGGGGGCATGTTTCACCGCATCGATTACTGTTCATACACGTAAATTAAATCGATCGTCAAGAACTCAAGTTATAATTCAAATTCATTTCTTGGCTGTCGCTTACATTCTTCCGATACAACTTTTCAAAGTTCATTAACCTTATTTTAAACTGAATTGGACTTGCAAGAGTCCGGCCCCGGACACTGTTCCCCGGTCCGTGGAGTGCCTGCCCGGGATCCTGGCCCCTGCATCCGGCAAGACGGAGTCAGCTTGGCCCGTGCTGAAGCTTCACCCGCCCTCTGCGAGCATTAATCCGTACTGAGCTAACTCCGTTGTCACCGCCGTTAACGGGCGCTACATGTCATCGTCGACCCAAAATTTCGGCGTCAACGACCAATTGCCCTAGCTTCTAATCGGCCTTTTGCGCAGCAGGACCATATGAGGCTTACCTAGGTACGCCTTTGTTTCACGGTTCCTCTCGTAAGCCTTCGTCAGCTATTTGGCCTTTTCAATTGCCCTCCCAAAGTCTCTATGACCGCCACGAGGTGACCTTGAATGAACCCCTGCCGAGTCCTCCGCTTGCGACAGAATCCACTCCTCTCCCTCCGACGCCGGCAAGGCTGGACCACTCAGACGCGATCCTCAAACTCCTACGACCACATCCCACCCCGAGTCGACAACAGCAAGTCCGATTTGGGCAAGAGTAGCAAGCACAATGTCTACAACGGCTGGGTACGTTCAGACACAAAAGGGCGAAGAATTTGGCGCATTGGCTAACAAATACTCCCGACATAAACAGCGCCTTTATAGCAGGCGGTATCGCCGCCTGTGGAGCCGTGACAGCGACGCATCCCTTCGAGACGGTCAAAATCCGCATGCAGCTGCAGGGCGAGCTCCAGGACAAGGGCCACCAACCTCACCACTACCGCGGACCCTTCCACGGCGTGTCGGTCATTGTGCGCAATGAAGGGGTGCGCGGCATCTACCGCGGCATCGGTTGCGCCTACATCTACCAGGTCCTGCTCAACGGCTGCCGGCTGGGCTTCTACGAGCCGATGCGCAGCACCTTGTCGCATGTCATATTCAAGGACGAGAAGACGCAGAGCTTGGGGATCAACATGTTTTGCGGCGCGGCGTCCGGGATCCTCGGCGCCATGGCCGGAAGCCCTTTTTTCCTGGCCAAGACGAGGCTGCAGAGCTATTCGCCCTTTTTGCCCACCGGGACGCAGCACAACTACCGCAATGCGTGGGACGGTCTACGGCAGATCTATAGGGGTGAAGGCGTGCGCGGGTTGTACAGAGGCGTGGGCGCGGCCATGATCCGGACGGGTTTCGGGAGCTCGGTGCAGCTGCCGACGTACTTCTTTGCGAAGCGGAGGCTGGTGAAGCATTTGGGTATGGAGGAAGGACCGGTGCTGCATTTAGCAAGCAGCACGGCGAGCGGTTTCGTTGTTTGCGTCGTCATGCACCCGCCTGGTGAGTTTTTCAACAATCAGTTCGTCTCATAACCTGTGGAGGGTGAGTTACTAACCCCAAGTCTTTTTCTTTCCCAGATACGATCATGTCCCGCCTATATAACCAAAACGGAAACCTTTATAAGGGAGTCTTTGACTGCCTGGCGAAAACGATCCGGACGGAAGGCTTCTTCGCCATCTATAAGGGCTTCTTGCCACATCTGGCTCGAATCCTGCCGCATACGATCCTGACGCTCAGCTTGGCGGAACAGACCAACAAGCTGGTTAGGAAGTTGGAGAGTCGGTTCTTGCCATCCGCGGATCTGAAGAGCGTTTAACATGATCGCTAAATATCTTCCTTTCCAAAGACGTGATTGACTAGATGTGGTCTTTTCGTTTCCTATTCTGTTCTATTTTGGTTGTTGGAGTGGAAGCGTCTTTTTCTACTTATTCTGCACATTGCATACCTTTATGTTTATATCTGTATATACTTTATTAGTGGGGCGGTGTTGCGTGGACTGTACGGCATTCCCTGGCATTTGTTTATGTTTGCCGATATTTTATGGTCCTCCTGCATACTTATCAATGGCGGGTTAAAACATGGAGGTATATTTCAACCTTTGGGAAGGAGGCGTGGTGGTCTGCTACATTCTACATTGAGCAGCTAGAGTGACTGAAATAGTTAGTAAAGCTCAACATGGAGTAAAACAGGTAGCTATCAACAGCAAGCCAAACTATCTTACTGGGTGGCTATCCACGAATGGACCGCTCACAGCCGTAACATATCCTCCCTGCTGAACTTCTTGTCATGTCGTCCTCTACGTCCTCGTCGCCCAGCTCACCCCGCCACCGCTCATCGCCCTGCTCATCAAGCGGCATGGTGCACATCCCACAGCTACTATGACTACCTGTCGCAGGCTCTGAGTCCCCGCCAAGAAGACGAACAAGCTTCCCCGTCGTCCTGGCCACATTCGCCACCACAGACGGATAATTCTCCTCTACTTCGGCAAAGTAGCGGAACATGACCTCCTCTATACTCAGGTCTTTATGCGAGACCACCGCTGCTGCCGCTTGTTGTGTAGCCGACGACGGGTGGTTAGGGATCATAATGTTGAGGTCTGACGCCAAAGATGGAGTGCCCATGAGCTCGGTGGCGTAGATGACGAGTTCCTTGCGAAGCAGGTCGCGGAGGGGGTGGTAAACTTGGATTTGAGACTCGGTCGTCGTTGTCGTCGCATTACTACTTTGAGATGTAGGAGTAGTGGTAGTAGTAATAGGTTCTGTTGGGACGGCCGTGGAATGGCTGACCACGGCAACGGGACCGTCGTTCACCTGCCACGGAAGCGAAAACCCACGGCCCTTTGCGGTCTCGGCGAGGGTTAACTCTGCCAGCGCGGTGGTTGTGTGGCCTAAGAGCAAAGCGTGACACGATTCTGTGCGCGCGGAGGAGATGAGCAAGTGGCGAGTGAAGAGGCGAAGGATGTCTGCTCGCGATGTTGGCGACGATAGGCGGTCAAAAAAGAGGGCGTGGAGTTGCTGTTCGTTTTCGGGGGGAGTAACAGCAGATGATGGGAGAATGAGGGTCCGCCAGTCGACTGTGTCGAGGTCTAGGACTGCCGAGAGAGGTACGAGGCGGAACTCGAAGCGAGGATAGCGCTTGCGGTATCCTTCGAGTGTCTCCTGGACAGAACCTGGTGAAGAAGAAGAAGGATATAGACCGGAGGAATCGACGTGGACTATGACGAGGTCGAACGGCGCATTCCGGCCCTTGGCTAGCTGGTACTCGACGTTCTCGTTCAGGAGGTGGACGAGGACGGACGAAGAGACGCCTAGGGAGAGACCAAGCAGGTATTTCTTTTTCTGGCTCGCGGCGCCTGTGCCAGGGTTGCGGATGTCTTTGCCTATGATGCCGACTTGCTTGATGCATTTAGCGGATATGAATTTGGTGAAGCAGTCGCTGAGAGGATTGTTAGTTTTAATATTGAGGATATGTGCGATGGATAAATACCTGCAAACACGCTGTGATCTGCTATCCAATGTTGCTTCATGTAAGTGACATTTCACACAGAGAGATGCTGGTGCGGGAGGTGCTGCCCCCCCTGATGCGACCCCTGATGAGGGCGTGTCTGGCTGTTGCATCTCCTGGCTGTTTCTCAGTTTATGCCGAATACACGATTGATATTAAACTTTTTATGTCAAGATTTCTTTATCTGCCTGGCCCTCTTTGAAAGTGGGCGGTTCTGGTTTGAATTAATGGGATTGGGGTTGTTGGTTTGACTCGTTCATCGAGAGCGCTCTCATTCTCACACAAAGGTTTTGCGCTGTTAGGGTGCCTGACTGCCACTGGCAGTGCAGCGCGGCCGCCGGCAATCCACAGAAGAGGGTTAGGGTTATATTGGAATATCACTGGCATGAGAAAAGGGGCGACATCCACGAATATGTGACAAGACCGCGGAAAGGAGAACAAATTCCTTCCAGTTTTATGTGTCTAAACAGAGGAGAGGTAGGATCATGCACCTGGGAATGAGTCTCATGTGTGACCTGATGGGAAAACCAACAGTAGGTACCAGGTAGTCTATCCAGCCCTAGGGCTGAGATGGTAGCTTATTCTCCTATTCTCCGCCCCGCCATAATCACCTCGTCCACGCCACAGCATAACCCAATCACTCGGAAGCTCGGGCGGTGTAGTGGTGTCATGTCAGTCTCACAGCACTCGCTGTTCTTCACTGAAGGTCCCAGGTTCGAGACCTGGTCCGAGCATCTTTTTGCCTCCCAGACTAGAATAGCATTTATAGATGCCGGTGAGATGGATCGAGTTGCATTTGGGTGCTGACACAATGTACTGGATATGGTTTTGTCAGCTGGGCGACAAATCTTTTGGGCTTTGAACAGACTGGATAAGGTACAGGTACCTTAGGTGACCCCTGACCACCTCATCAAAAAAGTTGAAACGGCATCAATGGTTCAGACTGTGGAGGGGTAGTCTGCAGTGGAGGGGTAGTCTACAGTGGAGGGGTAGTCTACAGTGGAGGGGTCGAGATCAGCGTGAGTTGCATCAGTACAGGCAGGGCCCTGGCTTGCTCACTGCGTGGCTCGGCCGCTCCAGCCTTAGCGCACCCGTTAACCCACTGCGGTTACCCCAACTTCCAGGCCCGGCCCCTTCACGACTCCGTCTCTTCTACCTTCCAACTAGCAACCACCTGCACCAACATCGAGTCTCCTCGGGCCAAACCGGCGCACTAGACAGCTCTTCCTTTTCAGGTTTCCCTTCGTTCTTGGTTTCCTGCACTATCCATGGCCGGCCGCTTTGTGCGAGCGTCGAAATATCGTAAGCTCGACTCGTCTCCATCAGTTCACGGCAGCTCGGCGATCGGCGGCGCGTTCTCCGCTTCAAACCATCTTGAGCCCGGCCGCCGCCACATCACGATGCGACAGACCGACTGCGAGCTCTTGGAACTTGACTGACCGGTGCGCGATCGCAGGACACGTCTTTGGGAAATCAACGAGGAAGGAGTTCTGCTATGACAACCTTCACATCAGTCGCAATGCTTGGGATACCAATCTCGTAAAGGTACGCCGAGGAACGGGGCGATGCGCACATCTGTTGCCGACTGTCGCGTGCTGACCCTCTCCGCCCTGCCAGGCCAACCCCGAATACCTCTCGGTCAATTGGGAGTCGGGCGGCGGTGGCGCCTTCGCCGTCATTCCTCTCAACGAGAAGGGAAAGCTGCCCGACCAAATCCCGCTGTTTCGAGGCCACACAGCTGCCGTCCTGGACACAGATTGGTGCGCATAACCGTCCAACAAAGTCCCAGATTCCAATCAGCGCCCAACAGACCTAACATGCGCCTAGGAACCCTTTCAACGATCGACTCATTGCCTCCGCGTCTGATGACGGCAAGGTGTTCATATGGGAGGTGCCGCAGGGCTTTTCGCTCTACACAGATGCCGAGGAGATCACCCACGTCTCGCCCGTCAGCAAGCTGACTGGCCACTCGAGGTACGAATCGCATAGCCGACCTCCTCTCTTGAACATTGTTCATATTCACCATTCTCTAGAAAAGTTGGACAAGTTCTTTTCAACCCCGCAGCCGAGAACATCCTGGCTTCCGCTTCGGGCGATCTCACCATCAAACTCTGGGACATCGGTACCGGCCAGTCAGCCTTAGCTCTCAAGCACCCCGACATTGTTCAGAGCCTGTCATGGAGCGCCGATGGCTCCATGTTGGTGACTACCTCCAGGGATAAGAAGCTGCGTGTGTGGGATGTGCGCGCCGAGAAGCCAGTACATGAGTACGCCGGTCACGAGGGCGCCAAGAACAGTCGGGCTGTGTGGATGGGTGAGCACAACCGTATCGCCACTACCGGCTTCTCGAGGATGAGCGACAGACAAATTGCGCTCTGGGAGCCTGGCAGGAAGGATCCAATTGGCGGCTTCACGTCTCTTGACTCCATCTCTGGCGTGTGCATGCCGTTCTGGGGTAAGCTGTGATGTCTTCTTCATTTTCGCAGAATTAGCCTCTAACGTAGTGCGCAGATGATGGTTCCAGTTGCTTGTATCTTGCCGGAAAGGGGTAAGTCAACATCAATTCGGCTGGCTACGGGCTCTTACTAACACTTTCAAGCGATGGCAACATCCGATATTTCGAGTATGAGAACGACAAGTTCGAATTCTTGTCTGAGTACAAATCGGGAGAGCCCCAGCGCGGTATTGCATTCGTACCGAGACGTGGCCTGAACGTATGTTCCCAGCTGTTTTATTGGTGAAGAAAAATAAATCTGACAATGTTAGGTTCATGAAAATGAAATCATGAGGGCATACAAGACGGTCAACGACTCATACATTGAGCCAATTTCATTCACCGTCCCCCGTCGGGCGGAAACTTTCCAGTCAGATATTTACCCGCCCGCAACTGGTCTCAAACCGGCCATATCTGCCAAAGAATGGCTCGACGGAAAGAGCGGTGTTCCCTCCAAGATCGACCTAGAGAGTGTCTACGATGGCAACGCTCCCATCGAGGTCGCATCGGACTACAAGCCGCCCGCCCCTACTCCAGCCCCGGCGGCAGCGCCTGCCCCGAAGAAACAGCCGGAACCGGAACCGGCGCCGGTCGCCACCCGCGCTCCTCCCCCGACCGTCACAGATCAGAAGGCTTCCATCTCCAACATGGCCAACAAATATCAAGACGACGAAGAGGAATCCTCTGACGAAGACGAGACCTCGAGCTTCGAGGAAATCTCTCGGCCCGCGGCACGAGCACCACTTCCCGTGCGAACTGCAGCAGCTAAACCGCCCTCCCCTGTGCAACTGAAGCCTACTTCACCGATCAAGTCGTCCTCGGCATCGCCACCCCTGTCACGTTCCGCCCCGGCTCCTGCTGCTGGTACTGTTGTTGTCTCGTCCGGCGTCGAACAGACGCTTGAACAGATCAAGCAACTCCTGGAACAGCAGACCAAGATTATCGCAGCGCAAAGCGATAAGATCTCGGGACAGAGCCAAGTAATTAGCCAGCTCGCGGCAGAAGTGGAGACTCTCAAGAAGAGGGTCGTCACGACGGGTTCGGGCTCGCAGGAGCAGAGCGAAAGGATCAGACAGTTGGAGTTGGAGCTGGAGGCTGCGCGGTCGTAGGGCGAGTACCGGTACTTATGGTGAACGGTGCGGATTGTTCGTGAAGGTGAGTGACTGGTTTTGATAATGGGGGATGTCAGTAGATTGATGAATGGATGGATAGCTGTGAGAAAAGGTCTTATATGATTTTTTCTCTTCTTTCTCGGTTCCTAGCTCCCATTTTGTGCGCACGCGTTGTCTCTGATACTTGATTTCCGGGTGGTCGGTTTGGAGCATTCGTTTGTATTACAAAAGGCTGCGTGCTTGTTTCTTTTTTCCAAAGGTCTGAAACTGGATTGCCTATCGGTCGTAGTTCTGCTTGCAAAATAAAATTATCCGACCCTGATGATATGCGATAGACTCGATGCTCCACAAGTTCCCGGTGATGGTATCCAAAAATCATCAAGTCGGGGTGTAAGTGTTATTCCAACTGGCGCTTGATAAACTCGGCGGCATCCAACAGCTCAAGGGTCGGGATCGGCTCAGCGTCTCCTCTTCTAGTCTCAAGATTCGATATAGAAGCCTCGATGTCCTGAATCTGAAGATCAATCTTCGGATCTCCAAGCTTTTTAAGCTCGTCGATATCCTCGCGGGCTATCCGACTCTCGTCAGACGGTAACTCTCTGGTCCTTTCCATCTCGAGACTCTTCAACGCACTACCGGCAGGATCCCGCCATACCCGACCCCGACCTTTACTGTTTTCAGTAACAGTTCGCTCATTCCTGTACGCTAGCATATTGTTCCTGCGCACAACGATAACGGTATCCACCGCCGGGCTCTGGTCGATGAATTCGGCAGCGGATGCCAGCCCGGCGTAGCTGTCGTTGTGCACTTTGGGGGGAGTCAGACGAAGCGGCAGGCCGCACGACTGCGCCTCGGGCAGGTTGCGATGGTACCTGACCAGGATCCCGAGCCGGCTGAGCGCCTCGGGCACGGCGAGGATGGCCACCACGACCCGGTAGCCGGCTGCGCGGAATATGTCGGCCAGGTTGCAGAAGTCGTCGGGATGGCGGCAGGCCGACTCGACTAGGACGTCTAAGCGGTTTGTCGCGGCGTACTCGCACGCCATGGTGAGCCATACGCGGGCGTCCAGGCCGGCTAGGATGGACGCCTTTTCCGGTTTCGAGGCAAGACATTCGGCGTAGTAAGGGTGGTATGTCTTGTACGTGTCTGCGATGAAGTGGGTTGGCGGCCGGCCGAGGGAGACCATGGCGTTGGTAAGGTCGGGTGCCAGCCTAGTCTTGCCTGCGCCGGTCTGACCGACGATTATTACTGCTAGAGGTTGTTTACCATCGTCTTTGTGGTGGTGGTGTAGGTAGGGGAGGAGTTCGTGCGGGGCGATCTCGGTGTTGAAGATGGCCTGACGTTGGGCTGGCGATAGCTTCCAGTCTTCTGGTATTCCCCCTGCCATATTTGATGTGTTTGTTATGAAGGGTACCTTAGGTATCGTTACACCCTTAAGGGGCAACAACACGGCACCGGGGTATCGTATATGTAAATATCAGCATGTCTCGAGTATTTCTCTCACATAAGTATATAAGTGTCGTAGAATCTCATTTAGTGCGAACACGATGTAAATGTTCTCCAAGCAACGTCTGCGGCAGTTGAAGTTGAACAGTATTTCTTACGTAAATCAATGTGTGGGTGTAAGTGGGCAAGATGGTGGGATGAAGGATAGGAAGTGAAGCGAGTTAGTTCACTGCCATTCAAGAGTTGCCTAAGTAGGAGAGAAGTAACTGCCGGATTATCTCTGATTTTATCAACATCTTCAACTCAGGACGATCGGAGCACCAAGACCGGACCGGCATGCCCGGATGAGAAAGCCGAAAGCGGACCGCCATCCCCACCGACTTGCCCCGCCTGTTCCGTCTCCATCTTACCCAGTGACCTCCGCCGTCTTCTTCTCATTCGGTTCCGAGGCGGTATGCTATGCCCAATTCGTGACCATCACAGCTTTTGCCACGACGGCCGGCCGGGATCCCATAGCGGTTAGATTTGTCCAATATGGTGATGTGACTAATGATTTAAAAGGCCGGTAGACAATTTATTATCTCCGATTTATACAAAAGCAGTCCGTGAATACCTTACCTTCAGAAAATATACCTTCAGAAAATATACCTTCAGAAAATATACCTTCAGAAAATATACCTTC